CTCCGCCCGCCGATTTTTGTAGCCGCCCTGATTTTTTTATTTTGGCTACAAAATGTTCCCGGCATGAGTGGGTTAAAGACGTTTGTGTACTTCATGTTCCATGCTTCTTTTCTTTGTTCCTTCCCCTTCTTAGCAAATGTACTGCATTCTGTATCTTACAAGCAGCCCAATATGTTGGAAAGATGCGCACATGCTATAGAGGCTGTGTGCGTTGGAATATCAAATGTAAACGGACAAAGCAAAATTATCAGACTGGCTCCCACAATGTTATCATGTTATTATTATCATGCACATGCATAGTAAATTGCTTTGAAATTTGGAGTAAGTGGCTACACATTCTTAAGAAATCTTGTTTAATCCCAGGTACAGTTTTGGTGTTTTTCTTTCTTTCTTTCTTTGCAAATTATGTATGGAATTTACATTTTTGTGAAAAAATATTATATTTCTAAGAAGTCTAAGGTTGATAGAAAGATAAAAAAGATAGGACTGCCTCAGTACATTTATTTTGTACTTTTTTTTACTGACTTCATATGATTTACCAAAGTTTCAGCCTGAAGCTTTGCAGAATTATCTACCATCAATAGGTAGATGACAATGAACAGAAGAAAATGAGGCTATATTTGTTAATTTCATTGAATACTCTATCAGTCCTATAAGATTTTGAGGAAAATGATAGTCCTGTGGTGCTGAGGTCCACAAAGGATAACAGACACAAGTTATTGTGATTTTTTTTTTTCTTTTTTTCTTATTTTAGTTATTGCGCTCTTTTTTTTTTTTTTTTGTTATTGCGCTTTTATTTTTTTTTTTTTCTTATTTTACTTTTGGCTCTTTGAATATTTTTTCACTCTTGCTCCTTTGCTATTATGTTGCCAAGTTATCATGTAATTGCTATGAAGATATCTGCAGTCTTTTATCAAATACTATACATTATTTCAATGCCTGAGATAGAGTATCAGTCATAGAAATACATTCAGCATGAGATGGGTCTATGCCATGACACTGAGTTCCTGTTGTGAAATAACACAGAAAGGATTGTTTAATGGAAATTTAGATACAAAGATTATTTGTCAAAGAATATAGTCTTTAAAATTTGAAGTCCAGTCACACCATATTATGATTTGCGGTGAATAATGTTTATTGTAATGTTCATTATTATTATGTTTATTATATTAAGAAAACAAATTAGTATGTTTGCCCAGTTTAAAAACTTGAAATAATTAGTTTGACTTAACAGGAGAGAGAGAGTGAGAGAGACAGAGACAGAGACAGATAAAGATTGAATGAGAGGGAGAGAGATTGAGAGAGGGAGAGAGATTGAGTGAGAGGGAGAGAGATTGAGTGAGAGGGAGAGAGATTGA